GCGTGCCAGAACGCGATCAATACGACGCGAAGGCACTGGCACGGCGCTGGCACGGGGCATCTCTGGAGCAACCAGGCTACATAAAATTGGTAAAATGTAAAGAATTTGAAAATTTATTTTTCTAGGCGAACTGTCTACATGTCGTCAGCAGAGCTCTGGGAAGAACATAAAAAAGTGCTACACGGAGAATATTGGGATAGTTCACCGGAAGATCTCTCAAAAGAGGCGATAGTATTTGCAAACGCATGCGCAGAAGCTCAGCGTTTGAGACTAGAGCTTGAGCAGCCACCAGTCCCCACAAAATGGAAGCAGCATGAAGAAAGAAGTATCGAAGAAGAGCGAAAACGTCTCGATAAACTAAGAGAACTCAATCGCCTACAAGAGAAGGAGAAACATTTGACTGAGCAGTTAGTCAAGCTTATGGCAGAAAATAGCCTAAGTGAAGGCGATGGCGCAGAAAATAGCCAGCAAGCAAATATAAATGGGAGTTTTGACCTCGAAAAAACAAGAAAAGCAATTTATACCGCTGTGCATCGCCGAAAGGAACAGCAAAGTGCTCAAACATAAAAGGTAACCATATTTTCCCCTGCTTTTTTCCATTTTTCATGTGGTGGATTGTTTTATCATCTCACTTTGAAGTTTATACCTTGTACAGTTTTAACTTTTTTTACGCATGACCTTATAAGACTAATCGGGTGTTTCACGAGTACTCTTATATTCACTTGTAATATTTCTCATTCTTCGTGTCATACCAGAGTGTCATCATTGCTATTGTCATGCTAATTGTGTCATTTTTCATTCAATCTGTCATCTCGATGTTAACTTTTAGGGATGATTTTGTAATAATTGTAATCAATAATCGTTAAATTTGTTATTATCAATCAATTTTATCGGGAAGAGATAGTACCAGTGCCGGAAATCTCTTGAAAAAAAGGCCTGATTCCAATAAAAATTTCATGAAGGAGAAATCGATGTAAAGCGGATTATCACAGCATCACATTTAAGGATCCAAAAA